CGATTTTACTATATATAAATACTCCCCCTAACCCATCCCTGACCCTAACCCTAATATTAATTAAAAAATCGGAAAAATCGGAAAAATCGTAAGGTGCCAGGCTTTAAACGTCCCCCTAATTTGCCCCTGGATTAGTCGATAGCTAAGACCCTTATACTTCTACATTACGTATAAACAATGAAATATGTAAAAATATGTATCAATATTTTAGCTAAATGGTTAGTAATTTCCAGTATAACCCTAAAAGCAGTTACATAATTTTTGAGTTTAAATTTCTCCGAATAAAGTACTACGTTAAAATTAGAAGATTATACTTCTTTTTGCTTCGTAAAATTATTGTATTTCGAAAATCCACATAAATCAAATTCTTTAGATTACCTATGATATTAATCCTTATAAAATAATAATATAACTTATTTGTACGTAGTATTATTTATGCTCGAAAAAGGAAGAAAATTTTTTTTTTATATCATCATTTTAAATTTATTCTTGCTCGTTCCAAGTATTTATCAAAGCAAATTTTTTAAGTTATTGAAAATTCGAATAAATATCGTACAATCATCAACAATTAAAGCGATACTATAAACAAAAAAAATTTTTTTTTTTTTGATTAATAATACTACTATTTGGAGGAATACTACATTCGTAATGGTTAAGTTGATAACGATAACAACGCCATCCCGGGTCATCCGAATATCAATAGCCATGACTTGATTAAGTAAGTTACGTAGTATTTTTTTTACATATACAGATTAGTATTAATAAGAGAAATTTCTGATGATCTTGTGATCAACTTTGAGTCACCTGAGTTTGCAAGTTTAGATTCTGGTCACTAACGCTAAACACTAAACTCAGTCGATTCGGAGTTGATCACATGTGGCTAATCAAGTAACGGGTACGGGATCATATTTGAGTTTGAAAAAAGAATTTTAAGTTTGAAAAAAGAATTTTTAAAACTAAATAAAAAAAACAAAAAAAGAAAAAAAACAAAAGATTAGTAAAAATTCAAAAAAAGTATTATGCTACGTAATTATTATCAAAATTATTTTAATAAGATAACAAGATTTCACTTTGTCTTGTTTGTTAACATTGTGTAATAAATATAAATATAATTTTAGATATGAAGACAATTTCATCATTGTCAGATATTTTAGTTAATATTAAAATGAAAATTATAAGAGTAATTTATGCGTAAAACTAATATTGTTGCAGGTTTTAGGTGCATGATAAACGCTTAGTTCACCCTACTGGTTAATCTTCTTAAGCAAGATTCTACTGTATTGTTTGATCAACCTGCGACAATAGGGGCGATCCTTTTTTTACTATCCTTACAAAAAATCAAAATGTTAATTAAAGTTAAGTACACACCCTACAAGAAGTTTGTAAGACTCCAAACGTGGAAATTGAGATGTATTTTGGGGTAAATATTACTGTATGAAATGGGCCTTATTATATATTACCAAATGAAATAATCAAACTAGGCGCTTGATGCAGGGTGATGGTCTTAATCAGAAAAAAGTATATATATTAAAACGCTAATATACCATTATACAGGATAAAACATTTTAAAAAAAAAACAAAAATTTTTTTTTTTTTAATTTTATAAAAATTTTTATTTTACCTTATTTTATATTTTAGAGAATAGCTAGAGGATTAATCAACTAATATGATTCTTTCAATATTATTGTCGTTGCTGCTAATCTCAAATAGCATATATTTCAGCGAAATAAATGTATTTGCAGCATCTAGTAATTGTAATACCAATACGACAAGCGATCCATGCGTTCAGGCAAATTCTTTATTGAGACCTTGTGGCTCCTCTATTCTTAAACCGCAACCAACTTCAACGTCTGTAGAATTACGCATTAGTAGTATGTACTAATAATTAGAATATTTTTAATTAATAGTCATTTTCTTCATTTTGTTGTGGTAAATTTTTCGCATTAAAAAAAATATATATATATATATATATATTATAATTATAGGTTCAAAAATAACGGATTGTGCTTGTAATCAACAATTCTATAATATTTTGACATTATGTGCAGCATGTATGTCTACAAGCGATTTGAATGTTCATGTTAGAAATGAAACACAATATATAAGTGATTGTGCTTCTTTTGGTGCTCAATTTAATGAAAATGCGTAGGTATTATTATTATTATTTATTTGAATTGTTAATAATTAATAATTCATAATTCATATAATTTTAATTATTTATTATATTCATGTTATTATCATTTAGTACCGTACCAAGTCCTACTGATACAGGCGGTAGTGGGGGTGGTTCGAATTTTGTTTTAATAATAATATTTGTAATTATTGCAATTATTGCAGTTGCAGTTGTAGCATCACTCGTAATTTGTCAACTTTGTAGACGAAAAAGACAACAAAATCAAAATGCAGCAGCAGCATTTAATGAGATAATACTTCCTGATAGTCATAATCATTATACAGGTCAAAATCAATATTCAATTCCACAATCAAATATGGGTTATTCTTCAGCTCCACCTCCCCGATATTATTAAGAAGTTAGTTCATTGTATGAACTTTTTTCACATATACGAGTATTGGTAGAAGATGGATAAAAATATATTATCAGTAACAATTATTGCATAGACATTTAATTTTAATATTAATTAACTTAAAAAAAAAAGACCATAAAATTATCGTCATTAGCAATATTGTGAAAATTATTTAAAATGTAAAATGAGGAAAAAAAAACTTTTATTTATTAAAAATATTTGTAAATACAATAACTGTTTTATCTTGGTAAAAATATTGTCATAATTTATATTATTTATCGGTAAGATATTGAAAGATTATTATATTTATCATATTATATTTATATTTATCATGTTTTATTATGTTTTTATCGTTGTTTGTACGCGTCCAAACGTCTACCGCTTTACATGTATTCGCGTACATGATTGATGTTAAAAAAAAATACAATGAATTAAAATTACTGTACAACTAACTATCATCACACAAAGAATTATTAAAAAAAAGATGACGCGCTTTGCAATTTCTTACTTGGATAAGTTTGAATAGGTTGCACAAAAAAATACCAATAGCTTAAAAATAACAGCTTTATTCAATACTGCAATACATTAAGTAAAAATGATTAACATTCAATTTTCAGGAAGTTATACAAAATTTGTAGATATGCTTGGGAGATGAACATGAACGAAAACATCAAAACGATTTTCACATGATCAGCATAACCGTATTCTAATTTCGATTATGCTGATCATGTAAAATCAAGAGGGACTACAAAATTTTGGGGAGCATTATCGTTATCATTATCGTTATCGTTATTACCCGAATTATTAAAAAAAAACTTATTTATCGTGTATAATAACAGGCTAAGTTTTTTTTTCGCATTTTCACGTAAATTAAGATGATATTCTATTAATTTGCCACAGTTTTTCCCAAGTTGATTCACTCCCTGCCGAAGAGAAAAAATCAGGGGTATTCCCCGTAAAGGGGAATACTAATTGACGGCCGGAGGCTACTTCCCAACTGAGTTTAAAATTAAGTCTTGCAAAAAAATAACACGTAAATCTCCTTAAAAAACAACTAATAAAACGGGGAATAAAGAATATTAAATGAGGATCCATTACGTTAATTTTTTATTTAAAAAGATTATAAAAACTTAGAATTATAATCATTAAATTAACAACGGTAGATCCTTCGAAAACCAGTCAAGTTAGCTTACATCAGCTTACATTAGGTTGGATTAGGTTGGATTAGATCCGATCAATTTTTTGACCCAATCCCAGACTCTTCATACTGTCATATAGGATTTACAAATTATAAAAAATTGATTTTTTTATTTAATAAATAATTATATTTAGGGATAAAATTATGTTTCATATAGTAATTTTGACCAATAATACGTATTTCAAATTTTATTTATTGACAAATATATATATATATATATATTTAATTAACCAGTCCGATTGGTTTCGAGCACTAACGTCTTTTTCTATTTTTTTTTGACCTAACCTTTTTTTTTTTTGATTTATTGTTATTTATCATGGTACATTCTCTGTACAAATACATAAATACATCTGTGTAGAAAATAAATCGTCAAATATATTAATAGAAACAAAAAGATGTATTATTTTATAATTCACAGCTCAACTATGAAGATGGATATATTTGACGATTTCTGAAAATATATTTCAAAGAACTCATATTCATTATTAAAAATTCATTGAAAATTCATTAAATTATACTAACTAAAAATTTTGATAATTAATATCATTAAAAGGCGTTTCTAGGACATCTCTTACCCAAATTATCTATCAATATTTACAATTTATACAATTTATTGATTTTGTTCTATGATAATTCTTATTTCAGTTTGCCCAGTAAAACCAGTCTATGAGGCTGTAAAAAAATTTAATAAATTAGTTACAAACTATATTAATAATGAGATTGAAAAATAATGTTGATAAACACGTACATTCTAAAATCTTCATCTTTTGGGATAAGACATTTATTCATATTTGAAATACGTTGATATGCCGCTGCTGTTTGCAATTTCTGAATGTCTGGTTAAAAAATAAAAAAAATAAAAATAAAGATAAGAAAATATGCTAAATTTAAAATTTGACAAAATAAATAATTATACAGTTTAAAAAAACCTACGATTGTTGGTCGAAATCGACCACTCCCTAGATTCCCTAAGACCTTCATAATAAATTTCAGGACTTTGTTTGCTCAATGTAAAAATGCATGATTCTCTTTGTTTATTCCCTGCAGAATTTAATACCACAACGGAGTTTTGTTTATTTTCAAAGACATGCGAAATTAATGAGTTGCGTGGTGGACTACTCTGTGGACTACTCTGTGGACTTGTACGAGGTGAATTGACATGACGATCACCGGCGGTTCTTGAATCAGATTTATTTGTAAGATCATGAGATCCATTTCGTAATTGTAATAAGCCTGATTTGACTAAAAATTTTAATACGTCATTAAATATTATTTAGATATATTAGATAAAATTTTGAATCAGATGACTATACTAAACTAATACTTACTCTCGTTGACATCAGTTTTATTATTCAAAATTGGAATTAATCTGCTAATATACTTTGCTTTCCTATGGGGCATAATACGTTGTCTTTCCTGATACAAAACCCTTCGTATCCCTCCGTTTCCTTTGATCCCAACCTCGAGTCCTAATTTACAAAATTCTCCACTTTCTCCGTTCATTCCATTTTCATAAATCATTTCATTTAAAACTTTTTCAATAACTTCAATACTTGGTCTGTTTAAAGGATCTGAATCCAAGCATGAAGAGATCAGTTCTTTATATTCAATTGGCATATCTTCAATCATAATAGGTCTTAAATTATTGTTAACAATTTCTTTTTGTAATTCATTATCATGAGGACGTTCAATAAATGGTCTTTGACCTGACCATATTTGCCATATGATCATACCAAGAGAATAAATATTTGAAGATTTTGTATAAGTTCCAGATACTAAAGTTTCCGGTGCTAAATATGGCATTACTCCAAATATATTATTATTAAGATTCATAGATTTTGATTCTGTTGGACTCGAATTAGTGCGTCTACGGAGCGTTAATTTTATTGGTTCAGATGAACGTCGGATTTTGGCAGGGTCAACAGGTTTACATAGACCAGTGTCTCCTATGTAAGCATCCCCATTTTCATCAATAAGGATATTTCCAGAGTGAAAATTTTTATGAATTAAACCTGATTTATGAATCTCTTTAAGACCACCAACAATTTGAGAAATAAGTTTATGAGATTGTGGAAACGTAGTATAAGGAAGGCGAGAAAGGTATGTTTGTAAATCATATTGAGAACAATGTTGAAAAACCATCATGAATTCATGTGTCTTTGGATCACGTGTTATTCCGTAACACCGAAGGAGGCCGTAAATTGTATAAGTGTTGTTTGATGGTATGTGTCTACTAAGTATTCTCAACTATATAATACAGTAATACGTATTAAAAAGTTAATTGAATTAGAAATTTTTAATTAGAAATTTTTAATGTAGTACGTTATCCGGATATGTACTAATACTGTAATAACCGTTAACGTTAATTTAATAACATTAATACGCATTTAGATATGTTAAAAATATACCTCTTCAAAAAATTGAGACTTAACATTTTGAGAACTCGATAATGATTTTAACGTAACCTTTTTCGGCCCACTCCGTTCCCATTTCGGCATTTGTGGATCCTGCGCCCCATCTTTATGTTCAAAGACTGGAGGTCCATTCCGTGGACCATCAATCCATTCAGCCTCCCAAACCGTTGAAAAGCCACCTTTTCCAATATATTTAATATTTTGTAATTTTTCATAAGGAATATATTCAATAAATGAAAAAATTGATCCTGCATTCGCTTGAATGCTCTTAATAACTAGATCAATATCTTGATTTTGGCAAGTCCATTTAGGATAAAAAGTTTGATAAGCATAGAATTCACATTGACGACACCAATTATAATAAAATCGAGGTGATGAGCACTTAGGGCATTTGCCAAATTTTGAGGCTGAAGATTGCGGTGCTGACATATTTATCATTAATATTATATAACGTTAATAAGTAATGGTTTTTTTTAGGTTGGTTTTAAAAGATTCTTCAAGAATCAAAAAAAAAAAAATTAAATTTAAATGAAGGAATAAATATTATATATATATCAATATATATATAATTTTTTTAAAAAGGAGTGAAAAACAAATGGTACCGATTCAAGTTAAGTGAATCTAAGTACCAATAGTAAATTAGGGAAAAGGAACGAAAGGATCTTGCACTGCAAGAAGTTTAGTAAGGGGAATCAGGGAGTATTCAATCACAGATAAAAATGGAATACGTAAAGTCAGAACTATATTTATAATTGTCATAGGTAAAATTTAGACTATGTACGTCTTTGTTTTATCAAAAAAAATAGTAATTAATGCGAATATAAACAATAAACATATCATAATCGACATAAAGTAGGTACAAACGTTTATCATCCTACGATGCCTTAAAGAGTAACACAATGAGTGTTCAATAATCATTCGATATATAGGAATAAAGGATTGACTATAACCGATAAAGTAAATTTACTTATGGAGATAAAATATGTATGTACAGTACATATGTCTTTACAACGAAAAAAAAATATTAAATAAATGCTCGTGGGTTAATTACCAATAAAGTTATACTTTCTAATTATTATTAAATTCTGTGTTACCAAAGTAAATGATGTTGAAAAGTAATAAGCAATACCAATAAATACTTAACGTTAACCCCTAAATAAATAGAACCGTTATAATATCATAAAATTTTAATTTTAATTTTCTTATTCCGTTTTTTAAAGAAGCAAGGGAGGAGTATAAATTCAAGTGAACTTTGAATAAACTCTCAAACTATTATTAATGAAACTCATTTAATGCTATAAATGTTATTCGTGACGTATTTTCGTTATATACCATGAAACCTTCTAAACTTTAAAATATTGTCATAAAAACAAATCATAATGTTGATCGGTACGTATTTGATATTTTAAAAATCATGTTCAATAATCGGAACAATAAAATTTATGGGCTTTTCCGTTATTTTACTCGCTGTTTTCCTGAAAAGTTATGAAACGACAAACAACGACATTCTGAATTCCAAATCCAAAAAAAAAAAAAAAGACAATCTTAATTCATATAATTAAAAAAAAAAAAGTCTTCAAGAAAAATTGAGTATAATTCTGTTAATTGTCTTACTACCTTACATGCCCAATGCATTTACGACCAATAAAATCGTTATAGGCATGATTTTCAAATAATGCCTAACTCGTGGAATTGTAATAGCGATAGCACTTTAGATTCCTTTAATATATTAATTGTGAAACGTCTTGATACCATTTTTAGAAATGAATAATATTCGTTAACGGATGCCAATTAAAATTTTATACAAAAAGATGAAACACTATTTTGAAACATGCAGTCCTTTTGTTGTAACATTTCTAAACGTGATATCGGTTCCTGGTAATCAAAGGTAAGACAACTGAACTGGTGCAAGAAGGTAACTAGCTACGTAAGTGATAACTGCGGATTATGCTATGTTTTTTAACTTTGAGACGTGCATTAAAAGATAGATTCGGATTAAAAAATATTTTCCCTAAATATCTTAATTTTATCTCAATTTCAATCGTTAGATCCTTATTCTCCTTGTTAATGCGTAAACAAAGAGTCTTTGTTCAACAAATTTAGTAAATTTTCGATGAAATATTTATCTCGTTTTCCGGTTTATACCATATAGATCTCCTGCAGACCTTAAATCAGTATATACAGCTTTCTTTGAGACAAAGTTTTACTGAGGTTTCTACAAATCAAATCAAATGGAATAAAGAACATAAAAAAAAAACTAACATCTTCTTATGAAATAACTGTTAATTATTATTTAGTTCAATTTTTGGCATGAAAAGTAGATTTAAAGGTTTTGGCAATGTGAGATCTTTCAAAAATATATTACTTTAAAAAGTTGATACTCTAAAACTTGGCAAGCATCGGAAAAATTAATTAAGTGTAAATTTGCAAAAATCTGCATTTTTGCAGATTTTTGCAGAATTTTTACAAAAAATCTGCAAAACTTTATAAAATTCGAATTGTGTTTTTAGATTTTCATTTGATTTATTATTACAAATCTGTACAGAACTGCACTAAAAAAAATTTCCCGATGAGATATGCTAAATAAAAAGTAATGTTTAAAGTACATAGTTGTAATTTTTACTAATTTAAAAAAATTTTTTTTATTATTCTATTATTTATGAATTTTATATTTATTAAGTATTTTAGACAATTTGTTTAAAAATAATAAAAGCTTTTATTATACTACATTAAAAAAAGATCTTATATAGTATAAGTGGATATTTAGAATTATTATAAAGTTAAACAACTAAAATAAACTATTTTTTTATTAATTAAAAATAATTTATAAACTAAAAAAAAATTTATAATAAAAATTTTACAAAAAAAATTTTTGTTAAAATATTAAAAATAATTTTAGAGAAAATATATATGTAGCCATATTTCAATAATTCTATAATAACTCAAAATTTTACTAGAGTAACCCTTGTTGTATAACTAAGTAAAAATGCTCATCTCGCAATTTTACCCTAAGCCAACTCTAACCCTAACCCTAATCTAACCTAACTCTAAATTTCTAAAAAAAACTATATTTAATAGTATGGCTACATGTAGCCTATAGCTACAAATAGATTAATTTATAATTTTATATATATAATTTTAAAATATAAATAATTTTTAACAAAATAAATATTTGGTTTATATTTTTTAATTATATTATATTTAATTTTAAATCTTAAATTTTTTTTTGTTTTAAAAAATGAGACCTTGTTTATATTTTATTAAGAATTTTTATTTAGGGGGCTGACAAATATTAGCTCATTATATCTCCTCCTGGGATTTTTACTTAGTCCCACTAAGAGTCAGTCATTTGACACAGTAAAATTTACAAAAAATGCATAATTAGATTTTTAACAGTTTGTATTGTTAACTGTCAAAAACCTAATTATACATTTTTTGTAAATTTTGCTGTGTTAAATAACTGACTCTTGGTAGGACTAAATAAAAATCCCAGAAGGGGGTATAATGAGCAAATATTTGTCAGCTCTCTTAAAAGAAGTATCCACTTTAAACTTAATATATAGTAGTGCTATAAATACATATATATTATATATATATATTAAACTTAGAACTTTAAATTATACAAACTATTTATTTATAGCTAAAACCCACTAAGTCTTCTGTAGTTTCATTATATAACTAATCTGGTTTTTGTATATTTCTTTTTAAATATTGGCACTATTGTATAAAAAAGCAAGTATAGTATAAAGTCTAGTTTGGCTTTAAAATATTTGTTAATAAAGTTAATTATAAAATTACATGTTTTTATAATATAGGTTTTGCTAACTAAATATATATATAACCAATCAAATTTATAAAATACTAATTAATTTTATAAAAATATTAATAAAATTCATAATTTTTTTTAATCATTCAGCAGTCTTGCCACTACTTTATTAGGCTTTATAATATTCTACAATATAATATTAAAATTTTTCGAAGAGCTAAGCTTTTTGATATCTAAGATTACAAATACTAACTCACCTGGTTATTCATTAAATACCTATGTGTGATCTGCTATAGTAAGATTTTACCTCTATACTAGCTCCCTGCTATTGAGTTTACCAATACTTCACTGGATAATTCTTACGGCCTGTTAAGACTACTAATTTGTTTTCCACCACTCTGCCCATAGGCCACTTTTAATCCAACTTAAAGTCTCTTCTTTAGCGATCTTTAGTGTATTTTCCTATCTTTTTTCTATATCTTTGTAGGTCGAATTAGATACAAGAATCACCTCATTGTCTACTTTTTTCTTTTTTTCCTTTCTTTTTTTTCCTTTTAGGTGGTCCTTCTTTTTCCTTATGCGTTATGCTATTTTTTTTCTCCCAATCTTGCACCAAATTGCATCTTGCGATTCATATTCTTTCGTAAATACTCCAAATAAAATTCATAATTTAATTAAATTAGTTACAAAAAAACAATTAAACTAGTATATTTTGATTAATTTTTAATAATTTTTTATTTAATAATTTAATTTTGTTATTATTTGAATTTTTACATTAAGAGAATTCAAATAGTATCAAAATTATCAATATTAAGCTATTAGGCTATATAAATTTAATTTTTGGTTCTTATAACCTGGCCGGGTTATATTTTGAAATTTTTTTAAAAAAAATTTTTTATATGTTTTAATAATAGGTGAGTGGGATTTTAAAAAAAAATTTTATAAAATTTTATAAAATTTTTAAATAAAAGTCTGGGCAGGTGGGTTATTTTTTTTGGTCCATGTTATGAGAACCAAAAAATTAACTTTGTATAGCTTAGATAAAGAGTTATTAAAAATTAATTAAAATATACTACTTTGATTAAATATAAATTTAATTAGTATTTTTATAAATTCAATTGGTATTTTTATAAATTTAATTAGTATTTTTATAAATTTAATTGGTATTTTTATAAATTTAATTGGTATTTTTATAAATTTAATTGGTATTTTTATAAATTTAATTAGTATTTTTATAAATTTAATTGATATTTTTATAAATTTAATTGGTATTTTTATAAATTTAATTAGTTATTATATAAATAAATAGTAAAATAATTTAATTTAAAATTAATTTAATAGTAATAGATACATGTTACTCTTAATATAACAAACTTTTGATATAATGAAAAATAAGTAAAATTTTAATATAATAAATTAAGATTTAAATCTATATTATAATAAATACTACTTGATATAATAAATTTATTAATAAAACTCATAATAAAGTAAATTTTAAAAAATTTCTACTATGTGTCTAAGAAACTATATTATATTAAAAGTAATATATATAATTAATATAATGATTACTTTAAGTAAAATATAATTAAGAGATGTAGCAACTTAGTGTAGTAGTCTAGTCATTACCCTCTTCAAGTAACAAATCTAGAGTTTGAATTTCACA